GTGAATATCTAAAAATATTAGTGTTGGCGTATATATACTAAAATAGTCATCTAAACATACACTTAGAGGTCTACTTTATAACATGTATATATAAGTGTTTTCGTGAAGTTCATGATAATTTATTTCTATGGTTCAAATGGTGTCAAATTCATAGTTATTTTGATCCTGTTTTATTATTCATTTATTTCATGTTTAGGTTGATGTTATAATTATAGATTCATAGCTATATTTATATGTGAATATCTAAATATTAGTGTTGACGTATATATACTAAAATAGTCATCTAAANNTACACTTANCGGTNTACTTTATAACATGTGCATATAAGTNTTTTCATGCATGTCCATGATATTTNATTTCTATGGTCCAAATGGTGTTAACTACTACTAGTGATGAAGATGTGGAGACAGATTATAGTTGGGCTGATGAAGGTACTGATTTTAGTGTTGATTTATTTAGTGTATTATGAATAAATATAAATCGCTATTAAAAATAATAGTTGTACTTAAAATATGAAGTACATTTGTAAAATAACAATGTCAAAACTTTTTCAGTAAACTACAGTATATAGCATGTAGCAAGACAATATTTATGTATATCGTGTTATATTTTCGTGTTATAAACTTTAATATATAACATGTTATTTTGTTGTTATCTCTTGTAGTTTTGAGTTATTAGATTCTGTCCATATTATTTCATAGATTAATTTGAGTTTTTTTTTTTAGTTTGTGTTGATTATCAGAAAATAAAATGAAGAGAAAAGAGATGAAAAGAAAAAGAAATGATAGAAGGCGAAGGAAAAAAAAGAAGATATACAAGTGAAAAAAGAGAGACAAGATAAAAATGTATTAAACATACAATTAATGTTGTCATTATTTTCAGTTATTTCCCCATGTGCACAGCACACTTTTTATTTGGTGCAAGTTGAATTTTTTTCGGGACTTTTTTGTTGGTTTTTTAAAACTCAAATTCTCTTTGTTATTTTTTTAATTAATTTATTCTATCTTGTGATTTACTAAATTGACTCTTATTTAAAAGTTTACGACCTTAGTATTTATTTAGTTAAACCAGTGAAACCCTTCCGAATTTTTATTTTAAAGAATTCACTTTCTAACCTTTCACGTGATTACCGCGTGAACATGACAAACAAAAATAAAACTCTTCTTAATGTTTATCATATTTTTCTTCTTTTAATACATCAAAAGACATATAATTTATACAAATAGCTACATTATTCCCCTTCGGATATGGCTAAACATCTAAAACTTTTTGGTAGTTCAATCGGATTTTGATCCGGAACTTCTTAGTTAATAAAAAAAAAAACAACTAAAACCTCATAAAAAAGGGTTTTAATTCTTAAAACTTATGTACCATCTTCTCCGAGAGCTTAGCCAATGACTTGAGATTAAACCCAACGATGGTATTAGCAAACAACGTCGTTTCCTCCTCACTATTTCCCTCCGGCACATCCACCACATAACTCTCCACCACCACCGTCTTCTCCTCTTCCTCCGCCGATACAAGCGCCGTCGTTTTCGACCGGTAATTAACGAGACGGTGGTCACCGCCAATGATGCTAATCACCATAACATGAGACTCATCGTCGAGCTCATCTAACCTCTCAATGCTGTGAACCGCCGGAAGACCGGAAACAACCGTCACGTCACGTACGGAGCCTTCTCCTCCATCGCCGGAGCTTAGATTGCATGTTTTCACGAATTGTTTGTAGGCTTGAGGGTTATCGAAACGACGTAGGATTGACCATACAAGAGGTAATGGAGCATTAATGGTTTGTACTAGTGTCGAACCGCATTGACTATGTTTTTGAGAAGTTTTCATTATTAGTGTTTTGTTCGTATTTTACGATTTTGTTCTATTTTATCGACCGTTTTCTTGTATAATAATATCTTCAAATCTTAAAGAAGTGACAAGTATTTATATGAGAAATATCTATAGAACAAGACCGACTCTTAAAAATATGAATTTTTCTTTTTTGTTGTTTTCTTAAAATTATGAAAATAATATTAGCTAACGGAACTTCATTGATGTGTATAAGTTAAAATCATAAATTCAAATTAAGATTTGGTCCAAGTATGATTATATTGTGGAAACATATGTTGACTATATATTGATATAGTTTTGACTTTAGTGTCTGTATAATGTGATTATATATGATCATAAACTGTAATGTTATTTACAAAACTATAATGAACAATTTGTTTTGTAACGTCATTGTAAAGAGCAATGTATTGTGCGGTTAAATTTGGAAGTTTATGACATGGATTGTGGTAAAAGTAGTGGCAAATAATGCGTCCACGTTGTCGATTTTGTTCATACGAATGACACTTATTTATCACACATTTATATTGTATAATATAAGAATTTATAAGAAACCAAAACTTTTTTAGCAAAAAAAAAGGAAACCAATTAATACTTGGCAAAAAGAGAACGAAATAAACAAGAACATAAAAGAAAGTGAATAGAGATAGCGTCATCTACAATGGCCCAATGAGCCTAAAATTCATAGAGCCATTTTAAGTCCAGATTAGCATCACTCTTTTTCTTAGTATCGGAACCAATAATTGAATCGGAAACCTATATAAAAGCTAAACCAAATTGTAATTTCTATGATTTTTCTTTTTCACAACTAAATTTTGTGAACAGAACCAATTCACTACAAGAAAACAGGATCGTTTCCGACGGTTTTGGTCCGTCGGTTCTATCTCGTCAGAAATAAATATCCGTCGGAAATCCGTCGGAAAAACCTGACGGATTTCCGACGGAAAAGAGATAACTGGAATCTGTCGAATTCCGTCGGAAGTCCGTCGGATTCCAATTACCGACGGATTTCCGACGAAAGTGGTCACCGACGGACTTCCGACGGAAATAAATACCGACGGATTTCCGACAGCATCTTTTACCGACGGATTTCCGACGGCATTTTTGCCGACGGATTTCCGACGGCCACGCAAACCGACGGAATTCCGACGGATTAATTATTTAAAAAAAAAAAATTTCT